TAGTTTTCATTTTCAATCCAAGGAAAGCAACCATGGAATTCAAATAACTTATAAGAACTTGAATATTGTATCGGAATTTTTTTATATTTATTCTTGTAATGATGTACATATATATATAAGAGTACAAGGATCTGTATACTAATTGCCTATAATTGTCTAGTCTATAATTGCCTATAATAGAAATTCTATTTTAAATATAATTATGAGACTATAATTTCCTATAATTGTCTAGTCTATAATTGCCTATAATAGAAATTCTATTTTAAATACAATTATGATACTATTTCCTGATATATTAATTGCCTTAAATGTATTGATATTTGCTTTGACCTTCTTTAATGTGAATTATATGTGCTTATCCTTAACACCCCCCCTCAAGTTGGAGGTGGGATTGAAATCTCAAGAACACCCAACTTGCCGAGTAGTCGTTTATAAGTATCGCCTCCAAGAGGTTTAGTAAATATGTCAGCTAGTTGGTCAAAAGATCGGAGATAAAAAGGGTTGATAAGACCTGATTTAATTTTCTCACGAACGAAATGACAATCAATTTCAATGTGTTTTGTGCGTTCATGAAAAACTGGGTTTTCGACGATGTGAATAGCAGCTTGACTATCACAATGAACGGCGATCGGTTGAGGATGATCAATGCCGAGATCCGAGAGAAGATATTTTAACCATTGTAACTCGGAAGATAAAGTTGCAAGGGAATGATATTTTGCTTCAGCAGAGGAACGAGAAATTGTTGGTTGCTTCTTGGTTTTCCATGATATAGGATTAGAGCCCAACATGGTAAAATAGCCGGTAGTAGAGCGACGAGTAGTAGGACAACCAGCCCAATCAGAGTCGACATATCCAACTAAATTAAGGGAGCTAGAAGCCGAAAGAAATAAGCCTTTGCCGACACTCCCTTTAAGATACCGGAGAACTCGTGTGGCCGCATCGAGATGAGTTGTATATGGAGATTGCATGAATTAACTGAGAGTGTTAACAGCGTATTGGATGTCGGGCCGTGTCACTGTTAAATATAATAGACGACCAATGAGGCGACGATAGATTTTCGGATCAGGAAGAGGGCTTCCTTTATTGGGCCGTAGACAGAGGTGTTGCTCCATAGGAAAATCTGATGGTCGGCAACCAGTCATACCAGAGTCGGATAAAATGTCAAGTGTATATTTCCTTTGGCATAAGAATATTCCCTTTTTAGAACGGGATACTTCGATACCTAAGAAGTATGAAAGATTTCCAAGATCTTTGATGGAAAAGACCTGGGCGAGAAATTTTTTGATGTCGGAGATAGCGTCTTCGTTATTTCCAGTGATGATGATGTCATCTACATAAACGAGTACAAATATAGTCGTGTGATTACTTTTGAAAGTGAATAGACTATAATCAGAGATGGATTGATGAAAACCCTTTTGAATGAGGGTGGTGGAGAATTTTGAGAACCATTGATGGGATGCCTGTTTGAGACCATAGATGGATTTGTTTAATTTGCAAACACATGGTTTCCTTTTATGAGATAAGCCGGGTGGTAATTTCATGTAAACTTCTTCATTAAGGTCTCCTTGAAGGAAAGCATTGTTAACATCAAGTTGATGTAACTGCCAGTTTTTAATGGCAGCAATGGAGAGAAGGAGTCGAACCGTGACAAGTTTGGCAACCGGTGCGAATGTTTTATGGTAGTCAATACCATGTACTTGATTGTAGCCTTTGGCGACTAAACGAGCCTTATATCGCTCAACGGTACCATTAGAGTGATATTTAATTTTGTATACCCACTTACAACCTATGGCGATTTTGCCATTCGGGAGAGGAGATAAAACCCAAGTGTTGTTGGATTCAAGGGCGTGAATTTCTTTAGCCATAGCGTCACGCCATTCAGCTGATTTGATAGCTTGAGAATAAGATGTTGGTTCTTTATTTTCAATTATATTAAGAAGAAGAGCTCGATGATAAGTGCTCAAATTGGATAAAGATAAATAATTCTTTAATGGGAAGGAACTCTGTGATGTGACATTATTAATGTCACATACGTGGTCCGTGAGGCGAACGGAAGGAGTACGAAGACGTTGAGGATAACGATGTTCTGCAGGATTGATCGCTGTAGGTGAATGTTGTTGGGGAGTTTCTACAAGAATAGATGTAATATTGGATGGAATATTCGATGAGTTATCATCCTGAGGGGTGGAAATGGGCATAATCGTGTCATCATGATGACTAATGTCGGGAGAGATACTTGATGCAGGTGATAAGTTGGAAGAGGAATCATCAAATTCACAATCAAGGATTTGAGTGTTGATGCTTATGTCGTTAGCGATGGAAGGAGTTTGAAAGTCGTGATATGGAAACATGGTTTCAAAAAATTGAACATCGCGAGAGACATATATTTTGCGAGTGTGCATATCGTAGATGCGGTATCCTTTTTGATTAAAAGGGTAACCGACAAAAATACCAGGTTTGGCTCGTTCATCGAATTTGTGTTGAATGTTCATATTTTTGGCAAAACAGAGACATCCAAACACACGAAGTGATGAGTATGAAGGAGGAGAACCGAGTAAAATTTGATGAGGAGATTTATATTTCAGGATGGGAGTAGGAAGTTTGTTTATGAGATAAGCGGCAGTGAGCATGCATTCACCCCAAAAGGAAAGGGGTAATTTCGCTTGGAAACGTAATGCTCTTGCGACATCGAGAAGATGATGATGCTTGCGCTCCACAACGCCATTTTGTTGAGGGGTTGCAACGCAGCTGCGTTGATGAATAATGCCATGATCATGAAACCATGTTTGGATTTGTTTGGACAAAAACTCCGAACCATTGTCGGAACGAATAGCTTGAAGTTGGGGAAGAAAGATGCCCCCATCGCCGAAATTAATTTTATTAATTTTAGTGTTGAATTGGCGATTGATTTGATTAAAAAAATGAATTAGCATAGTAAATGTTTCAGATTTATGTTGCATGAGATATAACCAAGTACATCGTGAATAATCGTCGACAATTGTTAAAAAATATCGTGATCCATTGTGTGATGGAGTAGAGAATGGACCCCAAATATCGACATGAATTAACTCAAAACAATGAGATGAATATGATGTTCTTGAAGAAAAAGGTAAACGTGATTGTTTTGCAGGCGGACAAACGTCACAAATAAAATCTTTATTCGCATTAATATTTGGAGAGTTCTTAACAATAAATTGAAAACGGGAAATAGATGGGTGACCGAGGCGTAAATGCCATAGGTCAGCCTTATTACATTGCTTAGAACTAAAAAAAGAACTTGGTGGATGGTCAACACAATAGTGATCGTTGTCATCTTTATTTAATGGTGGTTCTTCATTCAAGTAAAAGAGTCCATTCCGAGCACTACCCCGACCAATCGTCTTCTTCGTTGCTTGGTCCTGAAATATGCAACCAGAGGATGAGAAAATAATATCAGAATGTATTGATTTTTTTAATTGTGAAAGAGATAATAGATTATATTTGAAAGATGGAATATGATAAATATTCGTGAGTGTAAGTGACGGCGAGCAATAAACATTGCCGATGTGTTTCACGGACGCGTGAGAGCCGTCGGGTAATTGAACAAGTATATTTTTATGAACAGGTGAATATGAAGAAAAATAAGAAAGAGATGTGCATATGTGATTTGAAGCGCCAGAATCAATAATCCAAGAAAAAGGAACACAAGTAAAAGCGGGTACCTGCTAAATTCACAGATGATCCCATAGTGTCCTCTTTGGCTAAGAGAGATAGGAGTTTTTGGTATTGTGCGCTTGAGAGTTGAGTAGCGGAAGTAGATGAGAATGGTTCAGATTTCTTTGGTGGCTTATTTGGAAAGCCATGAATCTGATAGCAAGTAGCAATAGTGTGACCATGCTTATTGCAATTCTCACAGTACAGACACTGTCGTTTGCCTTGAGTGCGATACTGCACTTTAGAAGCTTGAAGTGCTGCTGATTCCTCAGCAGGAAGGGGTCGAAAATTAATCTCTTGTTGTTTCTCTTCCTGGTGTACGATGTTATAAATACGCTGAATTGAAGGAAAGGGATCCATGAGGAGAATTTGGCTGCGGACAGCCGAGAATCGGTCATGGACGCCCTGAAGAAATTCCATGGCCCGATCCTGATTTTGTTGATCAATAATACTCTTGGCATTACCGCATATGCACGGATTGATAGGTGCGATGGAATGGAGTTCATCCCAGAGAGATTTCAACTGAGTAAAATACAGAGATACAGACATGCCCTCTTGTTTTAGGGCAGAGATAGATTGTTTCAATTGATAGATTTTCGGAGCGTTGGACTGAGATAAACGATCCTTGAGATCGGTCCAGATTTGTGCCGCTGTTTCAGCATAGAGAATGCTAGGGCGAATCTCGGTTGAAACCGAGTTGAGAATCCAGCTTGCAACCATATTGTTGCAGCGGCGCCACTTAGAGATATCATCGGCCTTCTTTGGACAGATTAGGGTTCCATCGACAAACCCGAATTTGTTTTTGGCATGAAGTGCCATTGTTACGGCTCGGCTCCATGAACCATAGTTGTCGACCGTGAGCAGAGGTGTAACAAGGACAGTTGCAGGGTTGTCGGAATGATGGATGACACATGGATCGGTGTTGGAGGTGGTGGCAGATTGATCATTGGTGGGTGGTGGAACATCAGACATGATGATGCGAGTGAGTGAGTGAATCGATGAAGAAGGATTGAAACAGGATGATAAACACAAACTGAGGGATATTAACCAGAGAAAAACTGATACCATATAAGAACTTGAATATTGTATCGGAATTTTTTTATATTTATTCTTGTAATGATGTACACATATATATAAGAGTACAAGGATCTGTATACTAATTGCCTATAATTGTCTAGTCTACAATTGCCTATAATAGAAATCCTATTTTAAATACAATTATGATACTATTTCCTGATATATTAATTGCCTTGAATGTCTTGATATTTGCTTTGACCTTCTTTAATGTGAATTATATGTGCTTATCCTTAACATAACTCACTTAAAAAGTCCTTTAAAGAATCACGTGATACGATTGCATCCAATAAGCCTTTTTCGAAAAAAACTTCAACCGATTGGGAACCTTCAGGCACTTCCTTATTCAATGTTTGTTCAATTACTCTTTTACCCGCAAATGCAAGGTAAGCTTTTGGTTCGGCAATAATGATATCCCCCAACATCCCAAAACTAGCTGTTACCCCACCAGTAGTAGGCGATGTAAGTATCGCTACATAGAGTAACTTTTGATTGATTTGATAATTATATAAAGTAGAAGATATTTTAGCCATTTGCATTAAGCTCAAACTTCCTTCTTGCATACGCGCTCCTCCGGACGCACATACTATAATAAGAGGTAAAAGTTGATTGGTAGCATATTCGATCAACCGAGTTATTTTCTCACCCACTACGGATCCCATACTACCCCCCAGAAACTGAAAATCCATAATACCTATTGCTACAGGAATACCATTTAGTTGACCTGTGCCTGTTTGAACCGCCTCCAGTAATCCTGTACTTTCTTGATAAAAATCAAGACGATCTATATAAGGTTCGTCTTCGGAAGAAGAGTCGTATTCGTCTTCCGTAGAAGGTTCGTCTTCCGGAGAAGATTCGTCTTCTGGAGAAGATTCGTCTTCCGGAGAAGATTCGTCTTCCGTACGCCGCTTCATTTCCAGGAATTAGTCACTTCAACAGTCTTCGATGGTTATATGGGTATCCAAAATACGAACGAGATGGATGTTTATTGTCCCAACCATTCTAGTTAGTCCCGATCCTGATAAGAAAGGAAGGATTTTTTTTACAAAGTTTTCTCCTGTTGTTGATTCCCTAGCGTAGTGCTTATTCCCCCATGCCGCTTATTGGTACTAGTGGAGTAGGATTAACCTAACCCCATAAATAGGTATAACCTTTAGCTTAATACTATACTAAAATTGAAGCATATTGAGGATGCATTAATCGGGAATACACGACAGAAGGGATTAATCGTTTTATTTCCAAACTTCACCTTCAACAAGCGTAGGTTTTTTTTCAAATTTTTTTTATTTCTCTCTGAAGAATGTATCTTTCTCCTAAGACTGAGATCGGTAAAAAAAAGAATAATAATAATCAAATCGCACCATCTCTGTAATAAGTGAATGCCTCTTTTTCTCCAGAAGTTGTCGGAATTATTCGTAATAAGATATTGGCTACAATGGTAAAGGTCTTATCAATAAAATTTCCATTTATCCGAGATCTAGTCATAGGTAGCAATCCATTCTAAAATTTTATTTTTTATCGCATGATAAAATAATTTCCCAAACAGAGGAATTGTACAATACAGTACGAAATAACGTAAAAATGGACTTCTTAATCAAATTACTTTATTCTACGGTAGGCCTTGAAGTAGGTTTTTTTTCAAAAAAAATAAATTCTTTCTATTTCTATTTTTTTAGTTTCAATTGATTGAGGGCGCATAGATCCTCTGATTAGGTCTCGGCAATAATCTGGTTCGCGTGTGTTGTACCCCAAAATTTTCCCTCCCATTTCCTCAACATTTTCTCATCACAAGACCTTTGAAGATCAGGATCCAGTTAGGGTTTCCTCTGCTCAAGACTTCTCCTTGCACTGTGGACTCAAAATTAGGGTTGTGTTTGCCTAAGGATGTTTTGACCTAAAATGCCTAAGATGACTTTCATGCTTCATATTAGACTCCCAAGTTTATCCTCACCAAGTTTCAAGTCTTGATTCCAAGTTTTGCCCAGTCAATTGGACAGTTGACCTAAAAATCAGCTGTATTGGGGAAAAAGTCAATTGTGGCCAATTGACAGTCAAACCTCATGAAATTTGATCCACATCAACATTATGAACTCATATGGACCATTTGATCAAGTTTGGATCACAATTCTCCAAGAAATTTGATCAGATCACCAAAAGGGCAAAATGGTCATTTTTAGGGTTTTGACTGCACAAAGGCAATTTTTGACTGTTTGACCTAGCCAATGGCAAATCAAGTTCACATATGGACTCAAGGACTCAATGAAATGGTCTTGACACATTCATCAAGCTCAAAAGATCCCAAGTACACAAGGTTGACAGTTGAATTTCCCAGTCAATTGATCAATTTTGACTGTATACTGAAAAGTCAAACTTTGACTTTTTGGTCAAAATCAAGAGTCAAGATTCATTTTTCATCAAAACATGCCAAGTCATGAAACTTGTTCACCAAGAAACCACAAAATGCAAATTAGGGTTTGAAAATGGAATTTTTCATAACTTAGAATTTTTCTAAGTTATAAAAAAACCCTAATTTTTTCCCAACTTTGCCCCATCTTTTCACCAAGATCCATTTGGATTCAAACAAAAGTCAAAACATGAAAGTTGTAGCTTGTTGCATAATCTACAACTTTTATTCACAAAGTTTTCTCATTTGAAGCTTGTATCTCAAGTTACATTTTTTTGAATAAGGGCACTAAACCATTTTTAACTTAGTGAAATTTTAACCTATTTTGACAAGGTTTTCTACCCCACTTCAAGGCCACTTTTCATACCCTTCCACTTGGAATTTTAATTTGCATTTCAAAGATGGATTGTAGTACACATTCCAAGCTTTCCAAAATGTCCAAGAACTCATCAAACAACCTCATAACTTGAGAGATTCGAATTTCACAAGTTGGCAAAAATTCACTTTTGTTCTTCATCAAAACATGTTCATAACTTTGCAAATTTGAACTCAGCTTGCTTTATGCTTGATTACAGGTCCTTGAACCATTCCATACTCAATAATTTAATGCATATTCAATGTGTTAGAGTGTTGTTCTTTGAGTGCAAGCATTGTATGCAAGATTAATCCTAAACTAGATAAAGTGAACTTTCCATTTTTGAAAAGATTAACTTTATGTCCAATTGCAAATCAAGAAAGTACATGGAAAATATGCTTGGCACAAGATTATGTGCATAACACACTGATCAAGAGAGGATTATGCAGCACATTAGGGGGTCCTCTACTGACCTAGAAAGCCAACTTGCTTTTGTTTGCTTCAAGTTCAAGAAAAGTCCATAACTTGTGCCATCTCTCATCTCAGCTTAAGCACACAAGAAAGAAGTTATCAAACACCTTACACATAACATACCCAAGCTTTTGCACGAGTCCTAGACCTCTCAAGCACCCTCCATCTCAGAATCACCTTGAAACTGCTCAAACAGGGCAACCCCTGCAGATTGAGTGCTATCTCTCAATCCCTTCGAGCATTCTTGTCCAAACCTGTTCCTCTACCTTCCTTACAACATATGCAAGCTAACCATGGCCTAAAACCTGACCTGTAATCACCCTAACAGTTTCCACCATTTTCATTTTTTCCTTTTGCAGTTGAAGTTCCATAGCTTGATTCAGAAGCTCTCAAGACAAAGTAAGCATTGAAACAGCATCCCTGGACCTCAAGGAAGCTTTTCCAATCATTACCTTGCACTAGAAGTTCCTCATTCTCCAGATAGAAGTTCAGCTGCACAGGTAAAACTTTGAACTCGTATCTCTCTTATCATGCATCTTTAGTCTTAAGTTTGTGAAGAAACAAGGTTCTACTCATAGCCCTGAGCATGTACATATCTTTACATTTCATTTCTTTTGCCTGAGTAGAGAGAATTTGTAGTTTGAAAATGGCAGAAAAATTAGGTTAGGATTTGGGGGAGGAGAAATTCTCCCTCATCTTAGAGAGTTAGGTCAAGTTCCATACATGGTTAGAACCGTCTCTTCATGCTGAACATTTGTTGTGTTATGAGTTTTTGCTAAAAAGCCAGGAATCAAGAGTTAGAAGAAGCTGAACATGGCGTGCGTTTTTTCAAACATTTGTGCTGGAGGTTGAAGACAGTGAGCTTTGGGCTGGGCCTGTGCATTTTTTCTTATTCACACCACTTAATTGCTATTACACCCCCTGAGCCCATTTGCTTCATTTTTGACTCTTTTTGGCTTTTTCTTTTTTGATTGACTTTGTTTATTTTTTCTCATGACATTAAAAAAAAAAAATATTTTTTCCATCATTTTTTGAATATATGGCATATTTATTTGATTTATTTCTTTTGTTTGCATATAAATATTATATATATACTATTATTAGAATAAATAGAAAAATAGTGTAAATACATTTTTTATTTTTATTTACCTTCTGAAAATATTTCACATAAAAAATACTCTTTTTATTTATTTTATTAAAATATTAAATAAATATTTATTTTGTGTATAATACATATTTAAGATTTAATATATATATATATATATATATATATATATATATATATATATATATATATATATATATATATATATATATATATATATATATATATATATATATATATATATATATATATATATATATATATATATATATATATATATATATATATATATATATATATATATATATATATATATATATATATATATATATATATATATATATATATATATATATATATATATATATATATATATATATATATATATATATATATATATATATATATATATATATATATATATATATATATATATATATATATATATATATATATATATATATATATATATATATATATATATATATATATATATATATATATATATATATATATATATATATATATATATATATATATATATATATATATATATATATATATATGTATATATATATATATATATATATATATATATATATATATATATATATATATATATGTATATATATATATATATATATATATATATATATATATGTATATATATATATATATATATATATGTATATACATATATATATATATATATATATATATATATATATATATATATATATATATATATATATATATATATATATATATATATATATATATATATATATATATATATATATATATATATATATATATATATATATATATATATATATATATGTTCATCAATATATTTAAGTTAAAATATAAAAATACTTGAATTTTTCATTTTTATTAATATTTGATACAAAAATACTTTTTCCATAATATACTTCATTTTATTTTATTTTTATAAATAATAAATAAATGTTTGTATTAAATCAATTAATATCCATTTTCATTAAAATTAGGGTTTTTTGCCCTCAATTCAAAATACTCCAAAAAATAATATAATTTTTATTTTTCTTTTCTCTTTTACATAAATAATATTTTTTCATACATATACAAAACATTTTTGTGCATCTTGCATTCTTATTTAATTTTTGTACATTATTTACATTGCAAATATTCAAAATGATGTAATAATTTAGATTTAAATTCTTGTCAATATCCCCATTTGAACATTTGTACCCCCCTTCCCATATTTGGTTTTGTAATAGCTTAGTAAATTTAATTTCGCACTTTATTGCTTTCTAATGATAACATGTTAGAATTAGGGTTTGTATGCGAAAAACGATAAAAAATAGTTATGACCTAATCTCAAGATAAACAAGCATGAAAATGGACACACAAATCACACTTGCACCCCTAGGGTATTCCACTTGTTGCCTTCAAATAAATGGGCCATATTGTATGTTGAACTTCTTTGGGCAAAGCAAACAATTTGAATGATCATAGTCCCTCGACAAAACTTTTCAAAACAAACAAAAACCAATGATCAAGTCCCTTAAAGAAAATTGCCCAAAGACATTTAACGCCG